ATCATGCCGTAGCGTAGACACGGTGCCTAACATCTATATACAAATTTATTTGCACGTAACGTTACGTAGAAATTCCAACCGGTTGAAATTTGTCTTATAGATAAGTTTACTGCTATTTCTGTTTCTGTTAGATTATTACGTAGATCTAAAACAATATCCTGATTGACTCATTGGCTTAAGTTTAAATCTTACGGTTATTGTTACGGAATTTTGTTTAGCCCTAAGGACTTCTTTCACCAATCTTCAAAGTAGTGCACCAACAGCAGTTCAATACATCATCTCCTCTTTCTTCTTCTTCTATAACTGTTGGCACTATTGCCTTATGCTTCGGTCTTAACCCTAAAATTCTAAAATTCAGCTAATGGAATATAGATTTCAGTTAGGACCAATTAAGACTGACAGCCCTATTGGTTGAATTTTAGAATTTTAGGGTTGAGACCGAAGCGTAAATCAAGCATAAGAATTAACCGTGGGTTAATTTAATAGAAAATTGATGAAAGAGGACCTTGGGTTAGTACAGTGTTTTGAAATTCACGTATTATCGGGTAGAAACAAAGTTGCACGGTCACATGAGAATTGGACCATTGTCAATGGATAAGCGCATGACTCCGAGGAAGTTCAATGGCGAGAGGTCGGGTATCATCAGCGATGCCATTGCTGCAGATAATTGCAGCGCATTCGCGCAATTATCATCAACGTGCCTCACGTTTTCCGAGTGCGTACGATTCGTTGTTGTAGGTGAGTCCCGAGAGTGCATTTCGATTACTGTGCAACGTGTACGGCCGATCACGTTTCAGCCTTCTCTTTACTCACGTGTCTCTTCTTCGTCATCTTCTCCCATGGCTCCTCTTGCGTCTCTTCCTCTTGCGTCTCTACAATCCAGTTTGTTTTACGGCAGAGGGAAAGTGGCGTCCGTCATATGTTATCATATGGTGGCTATGAATTCTTAAGCGTAGCAGCTCCTTCGCGTAGCGTACCTTCGTTATGATTTTTATATGACTTTTTGTAGCGTGCAAACGGATTTTGCATGCGTCGAGGGTGGTCAAAGTACTTGTGTGTTATCGACAAATCGATAATTCTAGAAATGAGACATGATCGGAAATAAGATGAAGAGATGTTGTAGATAATGATAACAATAATATTTTGTAACGATTTGTATTTGAATTCTAAATTCAATGAAAATTGGATTTAGTATCAAAGCTACTGGCCCATATTGATTGCGCTGGGATACGTCTTAGGGGCTCTACGCATAATTAAAGGAATAGAAAACAGAGAACAGAGAATATGAATTTCAACTGAGATCAGAAATCATGTACTGTGGAATACATAGTGTCTGATAAGCTCTTACAGTTACTATTGAGCGGCGTTTACAATGAGGTTTTAAAACGTAAAATTTAAGCTTTAAGCATTAGGTCGTAAGAAATTGATCAATCATAGTCGAGTATTCTCCTCACATTCGATTGTGATTGGTCAATTTCTTATTTAGGGCTTAAACTTGAGATTTATGCTTTAAAAATCTTATTATAGACGCCATTTTACAGAAAGTGTGTGCGGCAATCCTAAGCGGTGCGTACTTTTGAACGGTCTTATCCTAGGTAAAAAGAATACAAGAATATCAACTTGCTGTTGTATCAACAAGTCCCAGTTTCCTCTATGTTGATATTTCCGTGAGAACATTGAAGAATATGAGATGATATTTTCTTTACTCCTGCAGAGGCAATTTCCATGATTTTTGGCCCAACTAAATAGTGGTACTTTGACCTGCCTAAAAATTCTTTATCCTGCAGTCAATTAGCATATTTGAAAAATATGTCATATGACAAATGAAATAGTATCCTTAAATCCTGTTAATAACAAAAGATTCAACCATTTCTTATTATTGAGTCTTTTCAATCTAGCTTTCTAAAAGATTAAGGCGCGTGTGCACAGCTGAAACTTTGAAACGTATCTGCCCAAACTTCTTCTAGCGGTCAGTAGGTCGAGATAGGAAATTGAGCTCTTCATCTTCTTTTTTTATTTTTTTCTCTCTCGCATTAACTCGTATGCTCGGAGGAACGTACCAAATAAATTAAATTCGGTCCGTAGAGACGCGAACAACTCACAAACTCGCACGTGATTGGCGAAGGCGAGCGATAGCTCTCACGTGAGTGAAGATGAGTGCACCTTACAGGATAGTTGTGAGGTGAGCCGAGAAGGCTAGTCGTATGTATGTAAGAGCAACGCGTCGTTGATAGTTTTGTGTGCGTCTACGTGTTTGCATAGTAATATTAAAAATACATTTAACGTTCTCCCATAAACTCAACTGACCTTCTCGACGAGAAAACTGGTTAATTACGTGAAGTATTTTTACTCATGGTAAATATGAATATATGTATGGAAAAAAGCAATATTTAATTGATTACAAGTGGAAATTAGACCGATAAGAATAAATCAAATAAGAAAAAGAATCTTATTTTTAGTAGACTACAAAAAATAAGTTAACTAACTTAATAATATTTATATGCAAATTTTATAAATATATTTTTCAGATATATATAAACCACTCGCCGATTTTTATCGAACTTAAAATAGTTGATACGCAATCAGAAATTGAAGCCAGACATAGTATTACAAATTACATTGATCATCAATTTAATGATAATGCTAATAAGCATCTTAAAACATTGCAAAGAACTTTTACAAAAAATATTAATAATTTTTTTGTAGTGTTTTAAGATGTTTATTAGCATTATTAAATTAATATATATCTATAATTTATAATGTTATTTCTATCAGCTTCAATTTATTTATGAGTTTTAGTTTCAAGTTAGACAGAGTCAGTATACAATTTATATACTGAAAAATATATTTGCAAATTCGCATATAAATATTATTTATTAAAAATCAAGATCCGTTTCGACTAATAATAAGATTTTTTTCTTATTTGATATTTATATAATGGAATTTAAAATTATACTCTTATGACTGTTTCTACCACTATAGATTAACTTTGATGTTGATTTAGATATAATTTATTCATTACGTTTTTTCTAATTTTTAGAAATAAAGAATTCTAGAACTAAAAAAGGATAAAAAGTAAGTTAAACCGATTAAAGTTAACTTACGTTGGTAGAAATGTAGATGCACGCGTGCACGTATATTAGATCTCTAGATCTTTTCCCAATTAATTTATAGTTCTTTTTCAAATAATCGCAAATTATGCACAGGAAAAAAATCAAGCGAAAGGACCTGTTGAATCAGTTAGATATAAACCTTTTATCTGAATGTTGAAAAGGATCCGTTTGTAAAAAGGAAAAAAATATAGGCATTGAACTAAGCGTTGAATGCAGAAATTTAAAGATTCTATTCTATATCCAAATTTGATTTTTATTCTTGCTATATTCTCAATTAATTCTGAGGTTGTTTTTCAAATAATTGCAAATTGCACGCATGATAGAGCAGATGATTTGGTTCATCATGCTCAAGGATCTGTTAAGTCGGATAGATTTTTTCTTCCTTGAAAAAAAGGCACTCGATCGCCCGTCTAATTCGGCCAATGATAATAATCGGAAATTAATTGAAATACATAAAACGATGCGTAATTAGAAAATATTCATTAAAATGTGATTACAAACGTTGATTAGTTTCATCAGAAAATTTAAAAAAATTTATTATGTCCGTCGGCAGCTTCTTTGATTGACTTTGAGTGACTTTGTGATTCAAGTAGATTTTCTGTTAGACTCTTTCAAGTAGAGAACTTTTCTGACTCTTAGAATCTTAATTCCGTTAGGAACTAGAGTAACTCCAATATACTATACGCCGTACCTAACAAAAACTTAATTTATTAAGTATTATTTACTATTTAAACTAAATAAACTATACCAGTAAAAATTTTATTCTGTTTATTTATAGTTTTAAAAAAGCCGCTTTTTTCAAATTGCTGGAAAAAAACCGGAAAAATTTTGGTTTTTTTTTGAAAAATTAGTTTTCTGGAAAAATTGCTGTTTTTGCTATGTAAAAGACGTAATAAGTAACTTCTAAATTCCTTAATAAAATTAATGCGATTTATGAAATTATGTAGCATTATTTTTATCAAAATTTTTATCAAAAGTTATCTTTCTATTTTTATAGTAAAATCTAATCTAACTTTCCTTTAGTACATGGCAAAGCTTAAGTAAACAGATTTTTGACTTTAGTTTGTCACACTCCGGTCTAATGAACTCCTGAAGTGTCTCTTTGTAATTTGTTTTTTTTTTCAAATATTTTGTTACGAATTCAGTTTAAATCCAAATTATTTTCTACACCTACTATTATCATATAAACATGATGTTTGGACTGTATATTTTTAATTCTTACATTAATGGTGCAATAGTGTATGTTTTGTATGTTTTATTGAATACATTATGCGACCTCAATCTTTTATACAATTTCAAAATTTCTGTTAACTTATTCCGCTGTGTACCTTATACGCAAATATTTTCTTTATGGAAAAAACCGAGAAGCAAACGTGGTAGGTTTTACGAGCACGCGTGAATTTTTCCAAAATGAATTTTTTTACCTTTGGGAAAAAAACCGAAAAAAT